CGCCTCGCAGATCCATGAGCCGAAGATGAAAGTTAATCCCGTTGGGAAGATCATGTTATCGAGGTCCATCGAGCTCTCGGATGCAAAGTCGCCGAAAGCCCCTACCTGACGCGCCAGCTGTCGATGTTTCACCACCGATAGCCTACCACGGGGGTACCCGGGGCAGTATTGTTCGGGCTTCGGTGTATGCTGAACTCGATGGTAAACGTAAGAGACAGTCGATTTATCCTGGTTCAGGCCCTCGATCGTAGATCGAGTAACGACCCTACGTCCAGTCGGCGTTGGCCTTTGCGTTGGATTGATTATGAAGTGTTATGTTGTACAATTGTCGTTCTTCTCTCTCAGGAGCCCTGCCCTCCTTTATATAGTCCGGAGGCCAGAGTCCTAGTCGGTTTACAATGAGATTTTCTAGTAGGATTACTTAATAGTTCTACTACTAAGATTACATGGGAAGAATCCTAGTTGAACTAGATCTTCTCTCTCCCTTGCGGGTATCCTGTGGGTCCCGCATCGACACCATCGGGTATGCGGGTACGGGTGTGGGTGTATACTACCCATACCCGCATACCCGTGGGTAAAAAAAAACCTGCATAAATAATATCCAACCTCTTCAATTTTAGCCCATATAAGCATATAGCCCATATTTGGCCCATATAAGCATATGAGTATATATATTCCAGAACTCCCTCAAACCCTAATCCTCGTCCTCACTCCACTCCACCAGCCCATATTTCTGTTTTGCTGCTCTATTGTTGATTTGTTTTGCTGGAAGCTATTATATTTTGGTGTGTGAACTCGGGTATATTATCGGGTAAGAATTACCCGTCGGGTGCGGGTATGGAATGAATTTTCTACCCGCCTGCGGGTACGGGTAACCCGACGGGTAAGATTTTGATCTGGCGGGTGCGGGTACGGGTGGCCAGTACCCATCGGGTACGTACCCGTTGCCATCTTGAGTCTCCCATGCCTCATTAGCAGAGCTCTTCGCCCCCAATGGCTCCCTGTACTCCGGTGGTACAGCAGCGAGGATAGCCTCCAACGCTGACATATCATCTTCTTCGTTGTCGGTGCCCTGGTCAATAGTATTCCAGAGCCGTCGGGCTCTGAGCTTGACCTTCATGGTCACCGACCACTCGCCATAGTTGGTGCGAGTCAGCGTCGGCCAACTGGTGCCGTTGACCTCCCGCACCGTGCGTACAACGACCTCCTGTCGTGGCTGGGTCGCCACAGCAGCACTGCTGCTAGCGCCTAACTCCAAACCGTCTGTCATCGCCGGCGGTTAGTCCAGCGACGGTTGTACGGCTCTGATACCACTTGTTAGCCCTCTGGATCTCCGGTAAGGAGCTAGCCGACAACTAGCTAGTGCTGTGTCGAGCACACACTAGCTCTGCCAACCACGACAGTATCATTGCTTCCCACGCTCTGGGTCTGCCGACCACACACCGTGTGTGTGCCGACCACCCGCTATGGAACCGAGATAGAAGACGGGAGGGAGAACAGAGTACACACGCACACAACACGAGCACTAGCATTGGCTGGAGCTCTGCGGATGAGATAGCAAACTGAACTCGCTCACTTTACTGAATTGCAATGTGGAACTATATATACAACTCTATCCATCTAGTCCTAGTACAGACATGTCAGGCCACCATGCTGCTATAGTGACTAGATATGACAGCAGGGCTGACTTCTGCGCCTGCCCCTGCCCCTGCTGCGGCTACAGTGCGGCAAGTGAGCTTTTCGACGCATGCCTTCTGCAGAGCTACAGTGAACACAGCAGGGTGCCTTTCGGCGCCTGCCGACCTGCTGCGTTCACACCTAGGGTACTGAAGGACCAAAAAGGCGACCAAAGGGGGGGTGAATGGGAGCTGTAAAATTTCTCGCGAGACTTTTTCGGTCGCTGTCCCAAAACACCACCAAGCACAAACGAGTTCCGGAACTCAAATACCCAAGCCAACTAGTGACAAGAGTACCTACTAAAATTCCTCAGAATAGTAGAAAGCCAACGCAGCAGACAGAACACGAAACGGAGCTCAAACAACCAAGCTACAGAAGGAGAAGCAAGCTCCAAAAATAGACCAACATTTGGGCTGCTAACAAAAACAACCATGAGCTCACTGTAGGAAATATGATCAATCACTTGCACTTGACTTGAAATAAATAGATGACCATACAGTGATTACTTCTTGTAGCTGAGGCTGACAACACAATAATAGATGGAGAAACAAAAATCACGATCAAGGCAAGCACTTGCTGCTAGACAGAACCTGCAAATTTCAGTTGATCTGCACAGAGAAGAAATGCAAGCAGCTGCTGCTCTGCGGGGTATTTGCACCTGGAATCCATGGCAATCAACTGCTCGATGACACACCTGCAAGACCGAGCAGTAGAGGCAAGTAGCCCAAACGAGAAACTGATTCCCAGAACGAACACAGAAAGAGAGACCGAACACCTAGGCGCTCACAGCAACAGACTGCATCGGTGTCCTCACAGCATGCTCGACCGGTGATTCAATGAAACCAGAGATGTGCTGGAAGCAGCAACAGGGACAAGCAGGGTCTGCGCTGCTCCCCTCACCAGATCGAAGTGTCGACCTGAAGGCAGAGTACGAAGAACAAAACAAGCAGGCCGAGCGTTACGAACAGAAACAAGGGCGACCCAAGAATCAAGGAAAAACAGCTCCAAACTCCATGATTTGTACCCAAATTTTGTACACAAAATCACAAGAGGATCAGTGAGCTATTCACGAGAAATCATCGCTCAATTTCAACTGTAACTCTAAAAATCAAAGAAATTCGAGCAAGAACGAGTTTTCCCCCAAAAAGGAAAATCGGCTTGGATCTCGATGCACGAGTGGAATTGATTCAAATTATTCATCACTCGTCAAAGCATCAACTGGACCAAACAAATCACACAGGAAAACACAAATCAAGAAGGGGAAACCGGTGAACAGTACCTCGCGAAAAAGAAAAACACCAACACAAACACACATCAGGTTTCCACATCCAGAGGACAAAAAGAGGTTAGGGCCTCCATTCCCAGTACCAAATCACACCAAAATATATCACAAATTTTTAGCTCATGGGACCTCTCTCAAGAGTGTTTAGAAGAAGAAACCCTAGGTTGAAAGAGGGAATGAGAGAATGGGAGAGAGGTGAGGGAGATGGAGGCTTCCTCGTCCTATTTAACAGGGCTATTACACATTCCCAGTTTTGCCCCTAGATACAAATGAGTTGAACCGCTAATCCCAAGGGCGTTGTTGTCCAACCCGGTGTAATCTTGATTCGACGGCCACCGCGCCTTCTCACCGGTAGCTTCGCCTCGACGTGAACTCCCCGATGCCGCCACGTGCCGTCCGTCACTCCTCGGAACCTCCGCCCGGGTTTTGAGGTCCAAACCCGTAAACCGTCCATCCGATGGTTTTGAGACCCAAACCATCAAATCGTCCGCGGGTAGCGTATTCCATACGCGTCCCCCGCCATCCGACGCGTGTCACCGCCGTCCTCGACCGGCCGGCCCGCCAAGTCCTCCTGAGCCTCGCTCGATTCACACGTCCGCCGTCTTGACCTGGTCAACACCGTCACTCCATGTCTTCTTGCACTTGTTGATGTTCCAAGTGTCAGTCACCGCGGCTAGTCGCCCGGCCTCCGGGTCCCTCGGTCCAAGCCTCACGTCCGTCCTTCACTGCTCCCGGTTCGTCGGCACGGCACGTCCTCCTTGACCTTCACCTTGCCGTCAACTACCGCCTCCATGCTCCACACCTGCACACCACGAGCCAAGAGACATGCACACATAGCTTTCGCCATGGTAGAGTTAGTAACCGACTCAACCTATTCGTGGATCACGTTGATCAATCACTCATCACACAAAAACGAACACACAAGGGTACTTGTCAACCTTGTGTTCGCAGGTACAGCAGATTATCTAACAGCAGCCACCTTGGATGGTCAGAAACTTGTCGGCGTCGATGGAGACGCACCTGACACGGCTGAGGAACAGGGCCCAGTTGCCGATCGTGCTCACCGGCTCAAGCACGTTCCTAACGGTGCCCACCCTATGGACGGAAAGCTGATCACAAGGTAATAATGGCAATAGCAGCGGCTCCCCCCCATACTCCACAAGGTAATAATGGCAATAGCCACCCAACAACGCCTCCAGAATGGCAGTGGCCAGTGGCCATGGAGATGCTCTGAGCGGAGCGGCAGCAACGTCGTCCTTGGGAGGCACCATCGTCGTTGACGATGGCCACAGCAGCAGTAGAGAGCACGGCTCCTGGCCGGTTGGTGAGGTACACGTCGCCGGTGAAGGGAACCATGCGCAGGAGACCGTCGTCGGGGTAAGGCGCCGGTGCGGCACACTTTCCGAAGTACTTGTTGTCCTGGTCTGCCCACACGACGGTGCCATCGGCTAGCATGGAGATGAACAGTGTCATAGTTGTGTAGCTAGAAATATTTGGATCACTATTTCTAGAGTGTTGGGTCATAACCTGGGTACTTGTTATGAATCTGTTGCCAGATTTTGGATTGCAAATAAGCAACACATGCTTACCAATATTATTTCCTCGTCTGTACTTTGGTCATTATGGAAATTAAGGAATGAAATGTATTTTCAGAGGATTACATGGATAGGTTTGGGAAGAGTTTTGTTCAAGATCGTCAAGATGGTGAGAAGATGGTTACCAATGTTCAAGCCGGAGATTGGACTGCAGGTGGAGGAGATAGCTCAGCAACTGGAGATCATAGCAAACTCACCGCCTCAACTGCAGTGGAGGGACTCGACAGAGACAAGTTTATCATCAGACTCGGAGCCATCGGGTGTTCAACTTTTAGTCTCAACAAATGTAGTTTCGGGTCTGCCTAATGAGCTTTTAGATATTTCGAGTCAAGACTTGTTGTCAGTTTAAAGCCATGAGGCTATGGATTGGGCGGGCGCACCTATACGCAGATGCTGTTAAACTGTCTGGCTTTTGTTAATACAAAAGCGGGGTATATCCCTATTCTCTAAAAAAAGAATAGTGTCATCGTTGTCGGCGGAGGCGACGTTGCCACCACGGTGACCTCCCTCGCCTCGCCCACGAGAACGGACGCCTTGAAGTGCGCCAGCGCGCCCGTGAACGCGTTGAGCACGACGACGCAGTAGGGGTACGTCGACTCCCCTAGGAGGACGAGGCCACCACTGGCGGCGCCGACAAAGAAGTAGTCGCGGTCGCGGAGCAGCGGGATCCTCATCCTCTTGCGGAGGAAGCGGCCGGTCTCCAGGTTGACGAGCACGAGGACGTCATCGTCATGCCGGTCTAGCACCGCCAACTTGCTCGGCTGGAAGCAGGTGGGATTGTCAGTGCAATCAGTCGCGTTGTTGTCTTTGAGGGCGCGGCGCCAGTTGTGGCAGACGGCGCGGAAGACCATGTAGTAGTCGATGTCGTCGGCAGCTAGGACGTGGTCACCGACTGAGGCGGAGCCAGAGAAAAATCTAAGGGGGACCAAGACGAAGGAAATGCATAGATAGTACCTTAAGAACTCATTTTCGTTGAAATATACCTGCTATTACTATGGAGTATATAAGCAAATTTCAGACCATAGGGGGGCCTTGGCCCCTGCTAGCCCCCCTGGCTACACCTCTGGTCACCGACGCAACGTACGAGGTCCGTGGTGAGCGACAACCAGTCATGCACGGGCGTCGCCGATGTAGGGGAAGTCGTCGGCGGTTGAGCAAGACGACGAGTCCTCTTGTGCTGCGTGGACAGTGGTGTGCAAGGCACTGTGTGGCTGGGCGTCGGTTGAGCTGCAGGACTAGAGCGTTTGGAGAGCGTGCAAAGCATAGGTAAAGTAAAATTTGCCCCTAAGGGCGCATACCCTGCTGTTGTGGATCACAAGATTCGCACTGAGAGTCATGCGACAGCAGGACAAAGACAATATAGCTAGGCATGTGCCCTTGGGGCAAAAAAAAAAGTTCGGCGGACTAGGAGCTTATGCTTGCAATTGCATGCGCTGTTGATGGATCTGCTGCTTGTTGGGTGTGGCCATGTGGCCGTATATATTATATTCAGGGGCGAGGAGGCAGCCGCTACCCGCTTGTTCTCATTCTCACTTGTCAACGTTTGTTGAATAATTGGCGGGAGTTGCTCTGGCTCCGTTCAACACTTCAACCCCTATTCAAAAATGGCGCCTTGGCGTTGGTGGTTTTGGCAAAGGTTAATTGCTAGTATATCCGTAAATGTAATGTGATGCAGTTTTCACTTTACACACCAAAGGCATGTGTGCGTAGTATGAACTCAGAGTACCTTTTATTCACGGGTGCTCGCATATTCTAGGATTTGTTCTAAGATTTAACGGCGCTATGTTTTCAGTGATAGGCAATGTCCCCGTCGACAGCGAAGCGTCTGTAGTGACTTTGCAAATTTCAAGATATGCCGGCTTAATTCTTCGGAGGTGCTCATAGGGATAGGATTTGCGTATGTGTGTTCATAGGGGTTGTACTGTGTAATTAATTCTCAAAGAAAAACAGGCACTGGTTTAAGTATTTGCTTGTTTAAGTGTGAAAAAGGAAAGGGTCCCGACATGTTTCGCCTTTTTTACCTCTAGACAGGATAAAAATAAAATCTTAGCCATTGATTACAAAGAGAAAAATTGATGGACTTTCCAAATCTAGTGCATGCATGATCGATTTGAGGAGACTTGCCAAAATTAGAGAATGCTAGATTGTTTAAGGGGAGTTTCCATACTTGCACCATTGCCAAAATTAGAGAATAAACACACGAGCACGCGGTTTCAACTCAGAACTCTTTTTATTCAAACAGGCGCCGATTTATAAAAGGATAAACACAAGCATGCGGTTTCAAGGAGCTGAAAAAAAAGGAAATATGATTTTAGGCCCACCGACCTTTTGGGCCAGTATTTTTAGCCGAAATCCTTGTTTCTCCCTGGATGCAAGCGGGCCGACGAGATTTTACATTTTAGGCTCCCTTTTTTTAAATTTTCGCTCATGCATGCAGTTCGAGTTCAAATTAAGTACCTGCCAAAGCCCAGACGGAAGCATTATAATACAAGCCCAACCTACTGAAATGGTGTGCCAAAATGGTGTGCTTCACACCAACTGTATGTATAATAAATATAAGCATCACCTGGAACTCACATGCATTCTCTCCAAGGCCACACAAACAGGTTTTGAGCTGAATAATAATGCACTTATATTATATTCACCGAGCTGAATGCACTAATACACCATCCTCAATTTGATCCAAAAGCTTAAGCTTCCAAAGAATATACTTCGATACTCCCCTATGTAGTTATACACAGGGAAAACCTTGCTTCAAATTAATTAGATATCATGTGTTGCATAAAGTATTATTGTATGTGGTGAGCTGGTGCTAAGGAATAGTCAAACATACAAAGTCTATAAACAAAAAGATATCCCTCAAGTAAGAATGTTTAAGCACAAAGATAATGAAATTGCCAATCACAAATTAATTGCACTGCCAACTGTATCTGCTCGCAAGGGAAGATCTCTGACTATGTCATGCAATTTTGATGCCCCACCGGAAGTACTTCTTTAGATGAAGAGCCACCCATAGAGGTTGAGAATCGAACCTTGGTTGGATAGGTGACAAGCACCCTAGTTATTTTATTCCTAAGGGAAATAAATCCTCGGGACTCCAATAAAAAATGACATCAAATTATATATAGAAATAATACATAGCAAGTTGAGAATCGAACCCTCGTTGGTTGAAAGTAGTAATCCCCACTAGCCAATATAACTTAAGGAGACAGTGACTTTTCAGCGTCCTCTGCGCCAAGATGAAAGATGAGCCGAATAGGTAATAACACGACGCAAAATGTGAGAGTATAATTTTTTTTGCTCTTTTATATGTCTTCTATCAATTGCCATTTTTTCGTCTATACTACTCTCGTCCAGCTAATTAACAAAATAAACATATCTTGTGCGTATTCGGAAAAAACTCACTTTCCCTGAATTAAGCATTCATCAAATATATATTTCTACACCTAGAACTCTACTGATTGAAACATGAATCCATCATCATGTGAAGATATTAATGCACAAACATTTCAATTCATCATAACATTCGAAAGCTAAAATTGAAAATTTAAGTATTTGACCAACATATCCGACTGATATAATTGGCCATGCCTACATCCCAAAGAAGATTACACATTACCACTCTGCAGTTGCGGAAAATGGAGAGCCACACTGCCATGGCGGGCTAAAGATTACTAAAGGGAGCAGGCTACCAAACTGAAGAATTTAACAACATGAAATGTAGAAATAATAGTATTCTAGCAGACTTGTAGAGTAGAGTATACAGGCATCTCAAGCATAGAACCTCATTCAATCGTCAGCTGGCTTAGAGGAGGATGTTTCATCATCGTGTTTGGAGCGCGATGATTCTTCGTCATCGAGTTCAGAGGATGATGATTCATCATATTCAGAATCATCATACGAGATACTCCAGCCCCACTCACAGAGCATCATCATTTCGTACAGTTTATTATAGTGGACGGACATGCAGTAATCTGTGATGACCTGAGCGAGGGTGAACGGACGGAACAAACCATCTAAGGAACCCCAATCCCCACCGAACTCGACGACGACGTTGTCAGCGACGTGAACAATGGTCTTGTCTACAGCACCATAGTAGGCTTTAGTTCTGGATGGAAGAAAGTAGACACAACCGCCTTGGATGGATGGGAACTTGTCAGCGTTGATCGAGAGGCACCTGACATGGCTAACGAAAAGGGCACGGCTACCAATGCTACTGATTGGCTCGATCGTCTGGGTCTCCATGTTCACCCTACGAACTACCGGTTGGTCGATAGTAAAGCCCAACGGTTTGGTCACGAGCAGCAGATCTCCCGCGGACTCCACGAGATAATACCTGCCGCTCATCATTGCTCGATCACCCGTGTCAGCAGCAAAATCAAGGATAGGAGAGATGGCGTCCATGGTGATGTCCACTGCAGAGCGGCGCCTCGGTTCCCCGGCGATGGCGGCGGTGACGGCATCAGCACGGACAGTGGACAAGTAGATTGATCCGTACCGATCGGTGGCGTACAAGTTGTCGCTGAAGGACGTGATGCAGGTAGGCTCATAAGGGTAAGCCATAAAGATGCGCTTGAACCTCTTCATACTTTGATCCGCCCAAATGATCTCGCCAATTTCGGTGGAGATGAAGACCGTCAATGGTGGCTTCATTGTCATGGAAACCGCCTTTACCCCTGCCCAGGGTATCCTCGCCTTGAAATGGGCGATGGAACCCGTGAACGGGTTCAGAACGGAAGCTCGGTGGGGCTTCGCTGACTCCCCCAAGAGGATGAGTCCGCCGCTCGTCGCGCCCACAAAGAAGAACCGGCGCAACAACTGGATCCTCTTGCAGAGGAATCGGCCGGTGTTGACGTTGACGAGCGTGATGAGGTCGTCACGCCGGTCGAGCAACGCCCACTTGGTGGGAATCAAGCGGGCGGCGGGATCGATGCCGTGGCCCGCCTTCGCCTTCTCAGGGTCGTCGTTGGTGGCGGAGCGCCAGTCACGGCAGACTGCACGGAACGCCATATAGTCGTCAATGTTGTTGTCGGCCAGCAAGCAGTCGCCCACGCTGCGGACTTGGTCGAATGGAAGCGACGCCCAGATCATGGACATCGGAGCCGGCGCCTGAACAAGGCGAGCCCTCTTTTGGGTGGAGAGTGTGCAAGGCATGGCTGTCTCTCTGGGTTTGGTTGCTTGCTATGCTCGTGGCTCCTGCGGCTTCTGCTTGGGTGAGGACTTCACAGCGAAGTTGATGGCTCTTTATAGTTGTATAAGCAGTTGTTGGGTGCACACCAGATAGTCAACAACTTTAAATAAGTGAGGGAGAGCAGACATTTCATTGTTGCCTGTTCTTACCTGTTATTTTTGTCTATATATATGTGCATTAATTTCTCTCCTGGGCTGGTTATTTTTAGCAGAAATTTATTACTTCCTCCGATTCTGGTTATAAGATGTTTTGACTTTTGTACAAGTGTAACTTTTCTTATGCACCTAGACATACACTATATCTGGATACATAGTAAAGCATAATATATTTAGAAAAGCTGAAATGTCTAATAATTTAGAATGAAGGGAGCAGTGATCAATGCAGTTTCACGTACAGTCACCACTAGTAATCTTTTTAAATTTGGTGTACTAGGTGGCATTTTAAAAACCTTATTTTAAAACATGGGGCCGCTTTAATTTGACGCGTGCATCCAGGGATTAAAAAGAATACTAGGAAATTAAAAATCTACAACACATGCCAGCATTTCACAAAACCCAGGATATATATCACCAGCGAGTTACAGCAATGGGATTTCGTATGAGGTGTTGGCATAGAGTGACAAAAAAACGCATTAGTTTTTTATTATATTATTACTCAATACAGTATATATTTCGATGAAATATTGAAATGTGCCTAATTCTTGTCATCGTATGTGTTCCTTCGTTGTCAAATAAAAAATATACTCCCTCTATTCCAAATTATAAGATGTTTTGGTTTTTCTAGGTATAACTTTTGTTATACACTTATATATACACTATCTCTATATACAAAACTAACTAGAAAAGTCAAAACGTCTTAAATATTTGGAATAGATGGAGTAGTATTTTACGGTATAGTTAGCATATCAAAATTTTGATTCTTGATGTAAACTTAGAATTCTTTTTTACAAACATATCAATGACACACTGTTCATGGTGTACTGATGCTTTTCTGATGTATTCCTACACAACCAAGTCCAAGAATAATCATGTTTAGTGATGAATGTAGTTTCACATATAGCTATACCCCTAGTAATCTTTTTAAATTTAGTGTAGTAGGTGTCAGTTTAATTAATCCTTATTTTTTAAGGGAAACATGAATATACGCATGCGGTCGGCTTAGTTTGAAACGCCCATCTAGG